GTAAATATATATATGTAAATATATGTATGAAGATTGTATTTATACTGAGCTGAGGGTTTAGGGTTTAAAGTACACCCAAGAGGGGGTGCTTCGACCCTAGGGTTTAGGGTTTAGGGTTTAGGGTTTAGGGTTTGTATGTTGTTCTGTGTTCACTTGCAGTTGTTCTCATCGGAGACAGCGGCGTAGGGAAATCGAATATGCTCTCCAGGTATTCTTCTAGGGTTTAGGGTTTAGGGTTTAGGGTTTGATGTTTTTTTTAGGGTTTAGGGTTTAGGGTTTAGGGGGTTTGTTTTTTTGGTGTTTAGAGTTGGTTGCAGATGAGGGTTAACATCTTTTGTATCAGTTTAGGGTGTATTAGGGTTTATTAGGGTTTATTATGTTTAAGTAGAGCGCATGAGGGTTTGTGAGGGTTTATGAGGGTTTATGGGGGTTCATTAGGGTTTATTAGGTTTTACTAGCGTCTGTGAGGGTTTATGAGGGTTTACGAGGGTTTGTTAGGGTTTGTAGGGTTTCCTAGGGTTTCCTTTGGTTTCCTAGGGTTTCATTTGGTTTCCTAGGGTTTATGAGGGTTTACGAGGGTTTATGAGGGTTTAGGGTTTAGGGTTTAGGGTTTGTGTGTAGGTTTACTCGTGACGAGTTTAACCTGGAGAGCAAGTCGACGATTGGGGTGGAGTTTGCGACGAAGAGTGTTTACCTAGATGAAGGAAAAGTTATCAAGGCTCAGATATGGGATACAGGTAGGGTTTAGGGTTTAGGGTTTAGGGTTTAGGGTTTAGGGTTTAGGGTTTGGGGAGAAGGGTGGTGAGGGACCGTGTATTCAACCAGTTCTAGCTGCGTGAAATTACGATGAAATTTAGGGTTTTGGGTTTAGGGCTTAGGGTTTAGGGTTTGTTCTCTAGGGTTTAGGGTTTAGGGTTTAGGGTTTGTTCTCTAGGGTTTAGGGTTTAGGGTTTAGGGTTTGTGTGCAGCTGGTCAAGAGAGATACAGGGCGATAACATCTGCTTACTATCGCGGTGCTGTTGGTGCTTTGTTGGTTTATGATATTTCTAAGCGTCAATCCTTTGACAACGTGAGGGTTTAGGGTTTAGGGTTTAGGGTTTAGATCATATTGAACCAAACCTTTTTTTTTTTTTTTTTTTTTTTTTTTTTTTTTTTTTTTTT